GCTCGCGGTTCTCTGCGCGCAACCCGATGACTTGTTGAATAAGGGTTGAATCCGCCCTAGTAGCTCACCATATGGTGCACCAATTTTCTTTGTACGGAAGAAGAACAAGGACCTTCGCTTGTGCTCAACGCACAAACTGTCAAAAATGTGGGGCCTCTTCTTCTTATCGACATTCTTCTTAAGCGTTTGGGCGGCGCAGGTATTTTTCGAAGTTGGACTTGAAGTCGAGCTATCATCAAATTTCGATATACCCGCAAGATCGCTACAAATCCACGTTTAAGGCACGGCACGGACATTTTGATTGGGTTGTCATGCCTTTTGGCCTCACCAATGCCCCGACGACTTGTCAAGCGGCGATGAGCAACGAGTTTCGCACGATGTTGGACCGGTTTATGCTGGTCTACTTGGACGACATTCTCGTCTATAGCCAGACCTTGAAGGACCATCTTGAGCATCTGCGATGTGTGTTGGAGGCACTTCGTCTCCCCAAGTACAAAGCCAACCGTGACAAGTGTGAATTCGTACGTCAAGAGTTGAGTATTAGGGCCATTTTGTCACACCGGAGGGCATTAGTCCGTTATCAGACAAGATTCAAGCCGTCCAAGAGTGGCAGAAACCAAGAAACGTTACGGGCGTCCGCTCGTTTTTCGTCCGAGCCGGCTACTATTAACGCTTTATCAAAGGCTATTCGAAGATCGCAGCCAACTTGACCAAGCTTCAATGCGAGGATCAGTCCTTCAACTTCGACGACTATGCACAGGCTTCCTTTGCGGCCCTCAAATCCGCCTTGCTATCCGCGAAGGTTTTATGCATCTATGACCCGCTTTTGTCGACGCGTGTCACTACTGATGCGTTCGACTATGGCATTTGTGTCGTCCTCGAGCAACACGATGGAGTGGATTGGCATTCGGTCGAGTATTTTAGTAAGAAGGTTCTCGTCGTGCACTCGATTAACGACGCACTGAAGGAGTTGTTGGCCTTCGTACATGCGCTTAAGCATTGGCGGCATTTTCTTCTCGGTCGAAGCCACTTCCAGTTTGACTTCTTCCCCGATTTCTTCCCAGGAAAGTCAAACCGTTTTCCGAACGTTCTTTCACGGCACCCGGATCGTTGTACCGCCGTCTACTCGACGTTCGAAGTGGATGACGACTTGCGGGACTGTTTCATCGGCGGCTACCAAGTCAACCTCGAGTTTCACGACAAATACGCAAATTGCTACTCTCCAAATTCGGCGCTATCACATTATCGGATCCAAGAGGGTTATTTGGTAGTCCACTCACGGGGGAAGGATCTTTGCGTGCCATGTGATCCACACTTGCCTACGCGGCTTCTTGACGAGTTCCACAATGCTCCCGCCACCATACACTTTGGAGTCAATCGTACGATTGGCTGACTTCGCGAGCGCTTTTGGTGGCCATGCCTTCTCGGGGACGTCACACGCTATTGCGAGTCATGTGAGTTTTGCCGTCGCTGCAAATCCCGCAACCATCGTCCGTTCGGTGAGTTGTGACCATTACCGGTCCCCTTAGGACGACGGGAATCAATTGCCATGGACGGGATGCTCACGGTGGTCGATCGACTCACCAAGTTCGCCACCTTTTTTCCTTGCAGCTATCACGCCAAGGCACCGAAGTTGGCCGAGGTTCTTCATGTTGCTTGGATTCGCACCAAGGGTTACCCCAAGGAGATCGTTCGCGACTGAGACACTTGGATCATGTCCGACTTTTGGGTGGGTCTCCTCAAACGATGGGGCTCATCTCCCAAGCCAAGTTTGACCCGCCACCCGCAAACCGATAGTCAAATGGAGAGGGTGCATCAAACCGCACAGGTGCTTCTTTGCACTCTCATCCGTCCCGATCAAAAGGATTGGGTTGAGCTGCTGCCGAACGACGAGTTGGCATACAACTCGTCCATTCATCCGGCTATCCGGATTTCAACCTTCGAGCTCGAGCATGGCTCCCCGGTCACATCACCGTTGGACACTATCATTCCATGGACGACAGAGAGCGACGACCACCCTGCCTTCATTCAACGGATGCAAGAGCTCCCCGTGAAGGCATGGGACCAGATGTCGAAGATGCAAGAACGCACGAGTTGTCAAGCCAATCGTCGACGTCTTCCTTGTCCATTCCACGCGGGCGACCTTGTTTGGGTCTCCGGCGCGGAATTCAGCCTCGAGCAAGACATCTCTCGCAAGCTCCTCCCGAAATGGATGGGGCCTTAACACATTGTAGCGCCCGCTGGTGACGCACCAGGAGGGCCCTTATTTGTAATTCAGGTTCCCGCCCGCTTGACCGTCTACCCGGTCTTCCATTGTTCAAAGTTGGCTCCTTTCGTTTCAGAGGAACGTGATGACTTGCCCGGGCGACGATTCGCAAGACCCCCCCTCCATGGATGGTTTCGAAGAGGCCAGTGACATCATCTCGCAGCGACGCTACGGCAACAAGCCGACAGAGTACTTAGTACACTTCTCTTATTGTAGCCATAAGGCTGACCATTGGTTGGCCTGTGCTACAGCCCCCGACGTTCTCGCACATTACGAACGCAAGCAGCAAGGCAAGCGGGAACCTTTGGCTCCACGCCGTACTCGCGTCCAGGTTCCACCTTCGGATCGTCAGCTTCACCCTCGACCCAGCTTGACTTCATAAGGAGGGGGGGTGCTACATGCTGAGCCTACACACGGGCCCCGTTTCGGGGGCCCGACGGTTGCTGGGGGTCCCCAAGCCGCACACCATCGAGGCCTGGGCACTGGAGGCCCACGACCAACCTTTGGGGCCGCAGGTTTCGATTTGAAGGCAGCATTTATTTCTTTATTTGCTGACATGCTGTTCTAGTTTTGTCTGTTTCAGGTGCCGTTTCGGACTTGCAGTTCGTCTGAACAGACTTACGATCTGTTCGGACAAAGGCCACGTTTTGGGCCTTCTTCGTTCGCGATCAGGCCCTTTCGGGCCAGGTTCGTTTTCGTCCAGTAGCGGACACGCCCTGCTGCTTCAGCAAGGAGGGCCTGGACATCCAGTAGGGACCCAGGCAGGCCATTTCTGACGCCTAGGGCCTAGAGAAGGACTTGGGCATCGCAGCCAGGCCCAGCTTAGCTGCGCCAGCCCAGCTCTAGACACAGTTTGAGTAGCTCATTTCTTGGGCGACAGGCTGCTGGAGCCACACGAGACAGCGCTGCGCTAGGAGGCAGAGGTGTAGGAAGGGAGCAGGGCGGAGGCCATGCCTGCGACAGCGAGACACGTACCTGGGCGACATAGCCGCGCTCCCGCCAGCCACCTGCAGCACAGCAGCAACAATGGCCGTACCTGCAGGTGAGACAGTGAGGAGGACGACATCTTCTTCTCCTTCGTCCGGTCCTCCTTCTTACTCCCCCTTCTTCTTCTTGTTCTTGTTTCAGAGAGAGAGAGAGAGAGAGAGGGGCTATTGGCAGAGGTTACATCGGGCTATGAAGCCCCGGATCTGATTTCACATTTTTGTGGCAGACATTGATTGGACATTCGGCAGGGAGACTATTTCTGGACTTCGCTATCGTGATCTTGGTCTTCTCCCTCATCTCCATCTTCGTCTCGCCTCCTCCCCCATCTCCTCATCCGTGTTATCTCCCCATGTGCGTGATCACGGAGGGACCTTTCGTCTGTGTATGCGGTCCCCCCCCTCTCGCTCACATGTGTGGCGTGTGATGAGGTGCAGCGTCAGTATCTGACAGGTCAGGTCATATCTCTGAGTCTTTGCTGAGCTACATTGTGCTATTTTCGTATGTATCTGGATGTACATTGCTTTTTGATGCTTTGCTGACACTGCATTGTCCGTTCGAGTCTTTTCATCACTTTGCGGATCCTTGGCTCCATATACATCGCTCGATCGAGCATGTATCACAGCGGCACAACGCGGCAGTGCCAGGCCAGCGGCGGGGCAAGGCGCAAGACAAAGAAACCGTGTGGCAGACTCCCCAATGGACTGTGCAACAGGAAAGTGTGTCGTGGACCAAAGCGGCCCGTGGAAACAGAAAAACGCGTGGTTCGACCAATCAGAAATCTGTGATCTGGCCCAAGCGGGCTAGCTCAGTTGGTTGAGCACGTAAGTGGCACTCAGGAGGTCATGGGTTCGATTCCCAATGCGTCCTTTCAATCCCCACAGCCTCCTGGGGGATATACTTCGGGTTCACCAGCGGAGATTGTTGGCTTGGGCCTCCTGGCTGGTTTGGTAAGTATTTGGCTCTTTCCAGCGCACGCTAGGAGTTAGATAGGCATAGACCCATAACCTTAGGGTAGCTTTCGTCTGTTCAGTGAATTTGAGCTTCGTCTCATAGGTTGTCTGTTGCTCATGGGTACGGTATATAGATACGGGTAACTAGAGGAAGGCAAGAGAGAAGAAAATAGGATACATAAAAAATACAACGGTCCCCCATATGAGGAGAAGGCAGCAGTATTTGAAGAAAAAAAAAAACTGTGATCTGGGCTGTCAGGCCCTATGGGACCAAGGGCCTGGATTTGGGTGCGGTCTTAAGGCCTTACAATCTCGTCCATCCAGGCCATCGATCCGGTAGGGGCCCACAGCCCAGATCACAGACTTGTTACATCCTGCGCCGATCTGGGCTGTGGGCCGGTAGGACGAACAACGGCCCGGATTCACAGTTGTTACATTCTTCCGCCTTTTCTGCACCGTGGGCTGGTAGGACCAATGACGGCCCAGATTTCAGATTCGTGATGCTAGCAATTTTAATAGTGTAGGGATATACACCATATAGTGGCACATACATGTTTTCAATTCGTACATAGCTGGCTCCCTCTTATCATCCGTACACCATTACTCAGGAGGACAACAACAAGAAAGTTAAAGACTACCTCGGACTTATCAACACTTCTGTCTGTACTATATCAATACGACTATGAACAGTATCAGCAATTTTAATTGGAGCCTACACAAATCATGGGCACTTTTTTTTTGTTTTTTTTTTTTTGGGGGGGGAGAAGTAGAAACATTTTGACAAGTTGGTCCCATACCCATAATGAAGAGCCCCAGAGTCATGGCCCATCAAGGAGTTGTCAATGCTGCTCATATCATCTGCAATCTCGCTGAAGTGGTAGACATGCCCTCTCAGCTCCTTTAGATCTGGTGGGAACAGCATACAGCCTTCGTGCAGTGTAACCTATGTGGCATATTTTCAAAGCCAAACCAGTCAATCATGCATGCAATGCACACGACAGTGTATGTCAGAGATGAAGTTCAGTAAAACAACCAACCAACAAACTGCATCCTGCGGACTACTTGCGCCTCGACAGAAACCAGTTGATCATGCATGCAATGCACAGGACAGTGTGTGTCAGGGATGAAGTTCAATCGACCAGCCATCAAACAAAGAAAACAAAGAGAACTGGATCCTGTGGGCTACCTGCACCTGGACTTCGGAGCTATCATGCACGCAATGAGCACGACAGTGACTCAAGGATGAAGTTCGGTAAAACAACTAGAAACTGAAAGGAGAGAGCAAAGTGCAACCCTACCACCATGGCAATACAGTCCCTTCATTGTTTATTTGCACATGCCAAGTAAAGGCCAGAATGCTACCCGAAGCTGCATGGGATCTCCTGTTAGTTTTGGTGAGACGTTCTGCAAGAGGTTCAATGAGAGGTTCGGTGAGAGGTTCAGTGAGAGGTTCAGTGAGAGGTTCAGTGAGAGGTTCAGTGTTCAGTGAGAGGTTCAGTGAGAGGTTCAGTGAGAAATTCGGTGAGAGGCTCACAATGGGAGGTTCGGTGAGAGGTTTGATGGGCAGTTCAGTGAGGGGATGGAACTGGCCATCCTCCATCTGCCGCAGTGGAAGGAATTCTGAGGGCCATTATTGGGCCCGCTGATTCTGTGCAATGGTCCTCTGGACAAATCACTGATGTGAGCATCGGTCTCAACCAGGGGCCAAATTGGACCAATGCCCGTTTTGTCCATCACATGCAGCAACTGTAACTGCCATAACAAGGCTCAGGATTCAGTCACCAACATTTATTTAAGAGACAAATTGGAGTTCCTGTTGTGACATGCACACCCCAGCGAGAGCAAGCACTCAAAGGAAAGATGATTAACAAATTGTAGAAAGTGGTTTCCAGTCAGATAAGATGTTCCAGGCATGATGGCACAGCTTGTGTTCCTGGAATACCTTTTACTCATGGAATATCCAGTGTTCCTGAAATACTTTATATTCCTGGAATGTCTCACGTTCATGGAACAGCTTGCATTCTCGGCATGTGTTCCAGGCATGCTGGCAAGTCGCACATGCTAAATTTTCAAGATGAGATCAAGGTGGTGGTGGTGTCAACTCACACAAAATGAGCCAGGACAAGCATTTAGTCAAGAATTGCCAGTCTACCAATTCTTGGAAAGAAAAGTGGAAAAACAAAGAAACTTTATATGTCTGCAGTTTGTAAACCAGAAACTAAAATTGGAGCTGGTGTTGTTTCAGGAAATGGCAAGCAGTGCCACACACACACACACCTTCACATACCCCATGACCATTCGTTGCACCATCCTTGTCCAGAAAGGAAGCACTCCGCACAATGCAAATTTTTCACCATCCTTTGTCTGCATTTACCAAAAACACGACAGAAAACATTCATCCAACATGCGATAAAGGAGCAAACAACCATAAGCCATAATTTAGAGAGAACTGAATGTACAAAATGCAAAGTGTTTAACTTGTTCTGTCTGCATCCAAAAAAAGTCAGCATGTGAGAAGTAGAAACAGCCATGCATCAATACAAAGTATTACAAACATTGTCAGCAGAATGTAGCAAAATAAACACTGTAATGACCTGCAAAAAAACACAGACTGAGAACCCTGCCGATGTCTGAGTTTCGCCGCTGGAATGTGTGCCTTGCTGAGATTCCCACTTTCTGCTCAGATTTCTAAGTCTGTGTGTGTGCGTGCTTGCCGGTTTCTGTGTGCCTGTCTGATCTCATGTCTGCCTGAGTGTGTGTGCGACCCACCAGGGTACTTGTTTGTTTGGGAGGCCCTTGGGCCCGGTACTTACCTGTGGCCGTGGCTTTCAGGTTCCCCCTTCTCCTAGCCTCTATGGTCTTGATTGTTGTGCATCGAATTTGTAAACTGCTCTCTCATCTTAGGGATGGATGGATAAAATATCTTGGTTTGAACATTTTATCCTGAACGGCTGAAGTTGAGTAGGTTCCTTCTGGAGTTTATTTTCGTTTTTCAGTACAGCAGGGGCAGAAAGAGGGTCAAAGTGGGACTCTTGTTGGTTGGGACCTAATCACGACCTACATGGGACCTTTAGGTACCCAGTGGGACCGGGCCCAACTAGGAAGAGACGCTTTGTTCCAGATCTGTTGCCATTCGTAGTGTACTCTGTCATGCTCGAATTCAGACGTCACACTATTGGTTGGGACACTCACTTTCGAATGGATCTTGACTGAGATGCTCTGCAGACTCTAACGCATAGTCCACCGCTTGGCTTGCACCTTATACACCACTCAAATCTCACTTGCTTCAGAGCTGTGTCAGATTAGGAAGGAGGGGATATCATGCGTGATCTGACCAGAAACGTTCTGATTTTTTTCTTTTTCTTTTTTTTTGACTGCTCTCCAGTCCACATCAATTAGCTCTACATTCTCTGCTTCTGCTTTCCGTTTGTTTCTTCAATTGAGTTTTGAGCATAACGTAGCGCAACGGAAGACTCAAAGATATGACCTGATCTGTCAGATACTGACATGACACCCCATCATACATCACACATGTGAGAGGGAGAGGAGGGACCGCATACATAGAGGAAAGGTCCCTCCTTGAGCACGCACATCAGGAGATAGCACGCATGAGGAGATGGGGGAGAGGCGAAACGAAGATGGAGAGGAGGGAGAAGACCTAGATTGCAATAGCGAAGTCCAGAAATAGTCTCCCTGCCGAATGTCCAATCAATGTCTGCCACAAAAATGTCCAGTCAGATCCTGGGCTTCAGAGCCCGATGTAACCTCTGGCTGTAAACTCTCCCTCTCTCCCTCTCTCTCTCTCTCTCTCTCTCTCTCTCAACTCTCTCTCTCTCTCTCTCTCTCTCTCTCTCTCTCTCTCTCTCTCTCTCTCTCTCTCTCTCTCTCTCTCTCTCTCTCTGAAAGAAGAAGAAAAGGAAGAAGAAGAAGAGGGGAGGGGAGATGAAGATGGAGGGTGAGGGCAGCAGAAGAAGATGCCGCCCTCCTCGCTGTCTCACATGCAGGTGACTGCCGCCATGGAGCTGCCGCCGGTGCGTCTGGTGCAGGTCGCTGGCGTGGACTCCAGCTATTGCGCCCAGGTAAGTACCGC